TTAAACGTTAGTATTGTAATAATAGAGAGAGAGAGAGAGAGAGAGAGAGGGATTCAGTTTGAATTTTCACGATGAGGGCGTAATGATTGTTACACAGTGTACCCGTATTCCAGACGTTCGAGGAAGGAGAAGGTTTTCTTCAAAGATCGGCGGCACTTTGAAAATTATTCGATTCTTCTTCGCGCGTTTATAAATCTTACCTCCTCTCGAGGATGCTCTCTTTTCCATCCGCCGTTTCGGATTATCTTGAGCTTGAATCTCGAGATTTCGTACCGAATATTTCGTACCGATGATTCGACGATACGAAAGTGTCTAGAGTGCCGTATTTTCGAAAATGATTCGTTTCCCTTCGGCGTAATTTGGCTGAATTTAATCGCGAACGAAGGCTCGTTTGCAGATTCCCCTCCTGCCCACGGTTTATCTCCAACGGTAATAACCCTTTATGGATTTCGCAGACTGGCTTAATATAAACTGCGATTTAATTGCCGAGCCGGCCGATAAATCATGTATCGGCTATAAATTTGCAGAAGGCCTTGGCAGCGGGGCGCCGGTACGTGTATCACCCGACGATAAAAAGCAATGGAATCTTATCGATGGTTAGAACAATAATAATTCACGAGTAACGTTAAGCGCCACCCACCTCGTTTTGTTTCGCCGTTTATCGCCGTATAAATCCGGATATAAAATATCAACTCGGCAATATTCTCGGGAGAAATGGAGCGCGGAACAAGCGATTTGGCGTACCGTCGTGACAAAAACGCACGGTGAATCGTTGATTCGATTTCGTTGAATCGACTCGAATCTCGCAGCCGATCGGTGCCAACCGTGATGATAACCGAGTCACGTACTTAATTAAATTTATCACCCCGTTATCGATTACCTTCCACGGGAATAATGGAGATCCGTTCCCCCCTTAGTTTTATCCGTTATCCATCTTGTTATCGTTTTAAATACCTTTTTGCTCGACAACAACATATTTATCGATAAATCTGGCGTACGATCGGCCGCGTTAACCAGAACGAAGCGGGGTTTAAGGGGTTTTTGAGAAAAGTAGAGGGAAGACGGGGAATACCGTAAATTCTAAAGCCAGTTAGTTTAGCTACCCAAAACACGGCATTCAGTTTGAATATTGCTCGTTGAGCTATCATTACTAGATCGTTCGAGGAATTTCTTCCCTCGAATCCGCGCCAACTCTGTTGGGTCATCGACCCCCGCGAGCTACTTTGCGAATCATCGATTTACGGTTGGGAAAAAAAAAAACGGCTCAAAGTAGATTCGTTGCTAATTAAGAAGGTTGGAGAACGTTCGCGAATAGAGCGAATACCGTCGCGCTGCGCACTTGGCATATCCCGCACGCGTATCGAGTGGTCTCGTAATTCTCCAATCGCGATACGAATCGATATTGGTATAATCGTTGTTATTTGATCTACGATTAAACTTTTTTTTTTTTTCCCCCTTCTTAAAAGAAAGAAATAAAAGCAAGTAAGTTTCGCTGGAGAGAAGGAAGAGATCGTCTGAGAGAATCTGTTCGATAGTTGTAAGGAGCGATTAGGCATATGCGGATCCTTGTTGGATTGGAGGGGGGGAACAACAACACTCGTGGTTGGATATAAAAGAGCGGACTCGAACGAATCGACACCATCTGGTGTAGCTGAGTGGCCGCTGCATTACCCTTGAAAGCTCACCGCTCTCGAGTTGACGCGGCTCTCCTATGCCGCGGGTGCATTCATCGTGTAATTAACGTCTCGTAATTATGGCCGCGAAGAGAGAGAGAGTCTGGACGTCTCGTGGTCGCGCGTGCGCTCCTGGATATTACGAGCTTTCACGGGGCTCCACGTGAATAAGGCGGTTGCCGTCTCTCTGAAGAGGGTGTTGCGAGCATTATGGAGCTCTCAACGATGGACCGAGTGTTGGTCAACGAGCCGTTCATCGCTCGCTCAAGGTGCAACGCGTCTTAGCACCAGCCGACTCTTTGACCAACGCTAGCTACCGTTTTCT